TAATTTGTTAGTGGATCTCTTTTGTGAGCTTCATATATACCGAAGTCATTTGTGAACATTAAACCTAGTTGACTATAATTTTATTACCCAACAATGTAAGAAAACTTCAGTCACAGGAATTAAAATCTCCAGTCACTTTTGACCATGATTTAACAAGGGAGAAGTAGCAAAATAGTTAATTACCCAGAAAAGATGGATAGTCCTGCAAGACTCCAACCAAATGAGACATAAATGATATAATAAGTGTACTAAGGCAAGTGTTTGGGTAACCTTTAGTCTTAATACGACCGATTTTTTCACTCATGAATTTGAAGTGTACAAAAGTGGAGGTAGACTACTGAGAACTTAAAAAAGTGGTGACTCCAATACCGCATTTCTCCTTGTAGGTAAATGCCTGCCTAGTACACTTATTGGACTAGTATAATCTAATGTCAAACGTGAATTTACTTTACGCTATGGTATATGTTTACTCAAGGCCCAGAAAATACCTTTTCCCATTTAATCAGAACGCAAAATAAAAAATGACAATTGCTCTTTTCCATAAACTTCATTTCAGGTTCTACAGCCCTGTATCCAAAACAGTTAAATGATCTGTTATTTACAGTATTTCAGTCAAACAGAAATTCTTTTGTAAAAAGGGATAGTTTTGATAGTGAGACTATCGGAGATAGCCTTCAGCTGACAGATAGTTATTGGTGTATTGAGTGCCTATTGAAGATGAAGTAGGAATCTCAGTCACTGAAGAATTTAGAGTAGAGGTGATTGCAGTGAAATGACAGCCCAGCTAAAAGTCTCGCAACTCAGCTGGAACAGTGATGAACTAGTAATTCGAAGGCGGCTAGTTCTAATCCTGCCACCTCTCAGATTTTTATTTCATTTTCAATCACCAACCATTACATCAAACGGTTTCTCATGGATACAGCAATCAACTAATTGAAATATTTTGTAATTGAGTCAGTAGAAAATAGATATTTATTTTTGAAGCAACACTTGCCTATTGTTGAAGCTATCGTAATTGACCTTAGGTCAAACTCGGTAAGTAGTGTGACAGTGTTACACCGATATTTGCGTTTCGCTTAATCATACGACGGTTAGGTTTTACTCTTGAGGATTGCAGTGACCTGACAACCTGGTTGGCAGCTTGGTCCTTTTATCCAGCTTTTAGAGTACCAGGCTAGCAATCTGCTTGACACGGTTCCGTGTCTTCAAGAGACTCAGGTTTTCAATCCACTTCTAGTCATCAAATGAAACAGCATCAATTGTTTATCAGAAATATATACGTTATCGATATCTATTTGAAATGAATGACTATAAGCGAATAATTGTGGTAATAGTTAAAGACTGGATTGTATTCAGCTAGGTCATGAAATGAACGTGAATAAATATAGAAATACTTATATATTCTAATATATAAATACATACATTTACTTATAAACATATCTAAAGGTCAAATAGGTTTAAGTCAGAATTTCGCACACAAATGTTTGAAAATATATAAGCAGGATTGGATAAACAAAGATAATTACAGGAACGATAGTCATAAATAAATTATAAACACAAATCAGTGCAAAAATAAAATGTTTACGATATGTTTACTTGAAATAGTCCTGACTCCCAGGATATACAAGTTAGTAAGAATGGTTCAAATTTAAGAAGTTCTTCAAGACCTACTGATTCCATAGTAGGACTAAATAGTATTGAATCCTTGAAGAGATGGATGAACAGTGCTTACCAAACAAGAGATCAGAGATGTTTAAATGTTCTGTTTACTGTTTATTTTATACTACTTTCTCTAAGAGCATTCACATATATAATTGGCCATAAAATAGGGGTTAACTTAACTTTAATTAGTAGCTTTGTGTTTCAGGTCGATAATAATATGTAGCCAAGCCTGATATAATCTATCAAATAATGGTCACCTAATAATGAAGATTGGTCATCTTGTGGTGGTGTGATACAGACAATGTGTGCCAACGGAATATTATTCTCACCTATTCCCACAGTTCAATACTACAGTAGCAACAGAATACGATATATCTATTTGAACATTCTAATTGATGTTAGAGACAGAATACATTTCCCACGGTTATATACTGCATTAACAAAAGAATACTATGTATATTTGAACATTCTATTTCTTGTCGTTTGATGTAAAGCGAAATCACGCGCTCAGTGATTGGTTAAAGAATGTAAACTATATATATATCAGAATTAGCAAAACTCTCTAACACATCCCTTCATACAGATTATTTCAGAATACATTTCGCTAAACGCCGGAATCCATTAGAGAATTACAGAAAGTTAAGTAGCACTTAACACTTGAAGCTATTAAAAGGTCATTAAATTTAAACCCAGTGGCTAAATGACTGACAAACTCGCCTAGTAACCTAAATGTGTCAGGTTAAATTCTTGACGGGGATGCGTGTACTTACTGCTGAAAAATACAAACAGGTGATCAAACGGCTTTTTTTCTTTAAAAATCAGCCTGAAATGTAAAATATATTACTTTGTTCTCAAATGCACAGATAATATTGTAGTTACGTTTCAAATATTTATTCAGTATACTGCAATAAAAACCAAATAATTATCATAAACGAATAAAAGAGCTTTATTCGTCAAGGGAAAAAGAAAAATGTGATTGAATAATATCCAGATACAATGTAAATGTGCACTAAATGATAGTTCGTCTCCTGACAACTAACAAAATAAGCAAATGAATAAATATCAAGTGCCGCGTTATACCAGCTTCAGGAGTCTCGCTACGTGCAAGTAACTTTCACAGACGTTAAACGTCTCCACCTGTTTTTGGTATTGATTGCAAAATACTAGTAATGACAATAACAAGCTTTTCGTATCTAATGTTTTTGTGCTTGTAATGTGGATGTGCAGCTTATAAGAGCGGATATAAGTAGTATGCGGAGTGATTTCTTTCGAAGAAACAGTGATCACTGATGTTTAGCTGGGAAGCTGCTGTGAAAAAATGCATATCAAAGGGTTGTTTGTGTATTTTACAGTAGTGAACAAAACATTTATTCGAGAGTATGGAGGTAGTCATTGGCTGAACTTGTATGTGAGTTTGTTAACACATTGAAGATTTCTTCTAGGGTGGCAGGGAGACTTTCTCCGTAAACCCAACCACGTCTCAAAACACAACAATACTAAAAATATCCCTTAGGTTTCACAAGAATAAAGTGAGCTACGAACCGTAGATCGATAAGACTATCAAATCAATAAGTTATTTATGAGTTGTAAGTCAGAATAGGATGATAGATATACTGACGATGAATTTTGAAAGTCATATAAAAATAATACTACCAATTTTCACTAGTTTACAAATCACCAATAACTACATCTAGTGAAAAAAGGAGTTTTGATAAAGTGAAAACGATAAATTCACTGAACAAACAGATAAACTCATACTTTCCAAGATTTTCCGACATCTTCGATCCGAAGTGGTCTAAAATGGAAAAGTCAAGCTATAGTGATTCAAGCAAACGAGGACACAAACGCCCACTGAAATGGCTGTTAACAAAAAAAGAGCAAAAGTAACTAAAACAGAGTTACTTCAAGCTTAACTTTTACTCCAAACTTAACTTTTCGTTCCCCATGCAATTCTTGCTATTCATCCAAATAATTGTTCTTTAGGGCAGGAGTTAGTTCTCGAAAAGACTTCGTAGTTAAGCACTTACTCTAGATGAAATCTGTTCAATTAAGTCAGTTTCTTTACTGTGGTTGGTTTGTTATCCATGCCAACTCTCAATCGTCGTTTCAGGGTCATTGCCGCACTTATCCTCTTGAATCAACACAGACTACTTTTGCACCATCTTCTTCAGAATACAGTGTACAACATGTCAATAGCCGCATGCTACTTTACTAGCATTTGTTCTCTTTTCATATCAAAATTTGTAAAGATTAGTGACTCCATTTCATGAGATCACATGATAAACTTTCCTCAAATTACGTATTTTTGAAATGCTGGAAAAAAGTTTGTACCTTAGGATCAGGATTGAAATAGTCTGATGTTCTTGTATTTGATTGCGAATGTTTCATCATCAGGCTTAGTGACATTTTTAAGATTAACTGATTTGCGTCGGTGGCATGGCGGTTAGGACGCTCGCCGACGATGTACATGATCCGGGGTTCGATCCCCGGCCGACGCACTCCTTTACCTCGCTAAGCCAGTAATTATGCCGGTGAAGAGGAAAGGGCTGGGCATGAGGCTAGCAACCCAATCCTGTAAAAATAAACACTGCTACAGAAACTTCAAGCTTCTAGATTGAAGCCCAATGTTTCACTGGGGAACGGGAAGGAAAGAAAAAAAAACCTCCTGATTTCATTGTGTCTCAGTTAGACCTTTAGCTGAAGTGTAGTCCAATAAAATGATACTATGAAGTGGTACATCCACATAGAAAATATTCAATACTCTTTCCATTCACATAATTACCAAATGTGACCAGTAAATAACACAATGCGCTGGTCAACAGGCTAATAACAAACACTATTTAAAATTAAGAAAGAGAAATTTCGGGGTAAATAAAAATTTTTCTCTTAAGGATAAATTTGTAATATAATATTTGTGCTCCCACTGTGAAAGGTCTAACTAAAGTTTGTTGATAATTAGATGGAGATTATTCCTGTCATCCCTTTCACAGTGGTAAACAGAAGTCACTCGGCAAATAGTCTAGTCTAAAGAAAACAAGGTGAGTGAAATGAGTGTCATAGTGTTCGACAAAGTTTAGATTTTGAAAGCAACTGCTAGCAAGTACGCCACAGCAAATTTGTCAGTCATATTAGCATTATCTTAGAGAGCGATACAAAAAAATAACACTCAACTTCTCGAAATTTTTATGTGATTATAACTACATTATTTTCGTCTTAATTTTACCGCCTACAATGCATAATGTGCAGACTATTTAATTTTCAACAGTCCTCTTTTTAAAGCGCCGCCAATTTTGTTTCTGTTTAACTAATAATCATACACACTTTGTTAATACTTTTAGGCACAGGAGAATCAGGCAAATCTACTCTGTTAAAACAAATGAAAATTATTCATATAAATGGTTTCAGTAATAAGTAAGTCAGTTTTGTACAAAATTTCACTTTTATGTTTTGAAGTACTTTAATTAGCGCTTTTCTTAGGTTTCGATTTACTAAGCCATTTCATTTTTATTTTAGTATTCGTCCAGGAAGTATTCTGATGAATACACTAAACTGACTGTTTGTACGAACAAACTGGTCTCTAAAAGACAACCTTTGTTTTAGTCTCATTTTTATTACCAACAGAAATCCACCTAGCAAGCCGAGCAATCTGGCCTATAAGTTTTAATGACTAACCAGTTAGGTGCACAAACTGGTCTACAGAATTACTGTTAGCCTGATGGACGTGCGTTCACTGACTGCTACATAGTCACAGGTAAAACATTAAAGCCAGTCCTATAAAGCAGCAAACTGTAGTCACTATGAGTGACGTGTATGAGTTGCAGATAAACATAAATTCTCATGGAAGTAAAGGAACACCTTCCTAATAATAATTTTTCTTGTAAATAGGTGATACAGATTTTCTCGAATTAAACTTTTGTATATTCTTGAGCGCAAGTTTTGAACCAAAACTCTGGCAACTGTTTTTGAAGCAAATCTGACTACTTAAAATATATAAATCTCATACGAATTCTTTATTACCATTATGGGAATTCGCCTTATCTAATCATTTGATTTTATGTCTTCTCTACTTCGAGGGAGAAACTTGATCATGTTCCAATTATTAAACAGAATATCCGAGATGCCATATTAGTAAGTAATTTTGTTGCTCTGTAAATGTAACGTAACCATTATTTACTTTTTTAATTAATTTATTTTTGAGGCATATGGGCGGATGAATTTCCTTGGTTGAATAGAGTAACTTTTACTTAATTTGTCTGCAACATTTATACTACTTACAGGAGGAGGACAAGGCTGTCTGCTATCACCAATGGTATTCCAAAATGTGGTGCACTGGATTCTCATTAGACTGTGAGGAGTGAGAATACAGTAATACTTTGGACTTATAAGAAGACTTTAGAAGACCTGGTTCTCGTGGATGATATATATCTCATGTCACACAAACTCGAAAACTTGCAGGCAAAAACCACCAAACAAGCTGAAGAAGCAGGGAAGAAAGGACTTCAAGAAAACATAAAAAAGGTGGTGAGGATGAGGAGAACCAAGCAAAACAACCAGTACCACCCACTATCAACGGAAAAACATTGGAAATAAGTTACTTCCTCCACTTATCAAGGAAGCATTGCTTCATCCGCAAGGGGGAATGGATGAAGATATCAAAGTCAGAATAGGAAAGGCAAGGTATACCTTCATCAACCTGAAATCACTTTGGAAATCTTTTGCACTCAGTATAAGGAACAAGATTCAGCTTCCCAACACCAATGTTAAGTCGCTTCTTCTATATGGGTCCGAAACTTGACGCGACTGGAGAGGCATTTTCAACAGGTCGCAGACATCTTTCAAGAGCTGTCTTCGTTCTTCATTGAAGGCCAAATGGCCAGGAAGAATTAGCAACGAGAAAAAATAGGAACAAACTCACTAAGAGCCAATCGCTCATCAAATATACAGCAGTAAATGGAGATGGATTGGCCACACATTGAGGAGTCCGTCGGACGATATCTCCCGCCAAGCCATGGCTCGAGTGGGACATGAATGAAGAACGACGAGTGAGTTTCTGTCCGAGAGTGACATTGGGGAGATCATGCGAGGAGGAGATTAGAGATTATAGGCGATCTTAGGTTTAGCTAAAGAGGACTGCAGAGAACAGGGAAAATTGCAGACGTGCCATTGTAGCCCAACATTACACTCGGAATTAAAGGGGACAATAATAATTATTATATTCAAACTACTGCAGTCACTATGATATAAACAGTGAACACTCCAATAATTTGGGATACTTCGGCTACAGTCCGAAATCGGTATAGAGAAAATACTATTATTATTCAACTAATGACTTCTATAAGATACTGATGAGATGCATGGCTTTAAAATGGAAGAGACATTCGTTTCAAAATTATATTGTTTTTCACACTTCAACATCAGTAGTACTTGCATTCCTAGTTCATGCATATGAAATTTAAATGACCAAAGGAAAGTATTACGTGCTTACTTGTAATTGTGCCAACATAAAATAACAATGAAAACAGGATTCATGTGCTGAACAACTAGCAGCACTATCACTGCTTATTATAGCTTATTATTCATCGCCCAGTCCATCCAGGCATTAGCATTCACAATTGTCGGTGGCTACGTTACAGTTGGTTAACTGCACACGACAAAATATGTCACATATCGGTGATTTGGTTCACTACTCTATAAATACTGAATCCAACTCAGAAGACAGATTCTAGGCCCATTTAAGAAAAAGAATTTAAGCGATTCGTGTAACACGTCCTGGGGCTCGAACCCAGTGCCCGTAGTTTCAAACGCCAAAGCGTTATCCACTGGACCACTTGGGTTAACAGGGCCAGATGACGAGTTCCAAATAGGACGAGATGCTCATTCTGGCTTCCACTGCTAGCCACCATCCACCAGTTGACTTCATATTATTATGATTAATTGTTTCAAACTCATTTGGTCAGTCATTCACTTAGTTAAGTAAAGTTCGTGTTCACAATGAACATGACAAACTTAATTGTCGTATAACCTTGTGAAGTCATACTGATTAAATAACATATGACTTCTTGATTTTAAAATTTGACCGAGCTATCATGCAAAGGAGAAATTATATTTACTTATAGTATGGAGGTTTAATTAATTAATTTGTCGTACTTCATTGATTGCAATTTGACAATCGATTACAGAGAAATTACACAGTAGATTTGTATAACAATTATAGTTTATGAGGAGAAAGGATAAAAAGAAAAGATAAGCATGGGGAAAACAGTATGTGTGATGGATGAGCTGGTGGACTTAACGGAATCTTGACTTTAAGGAGTCATATATTTCAAACTAGAAGAAGACATATCATCAAGAATATACTGTATATAGTGGTTCATAACCGAAGGAAAGCTGAAAAACCACTGGAATTCCTAGTCGAAATTAAACAATAATGACTAAATCTGTCACTATTTACCTAGTAGAACATTTATGTTCATGATGAGAACATGGATTTTAATTTTAGCATCACTCCTTAACTTTTGAGACAGTCAGAAATATATATACAATTATGAAATGCACACAAGTATAATATTCTCTCCTTATCAAAGCCACATTCACATATTCAAAATAAATTCACATTTCATACAGCTCTGTAAAAAGATTGATTTTCTAAGTCAATATTTAGCTATCAGGTAGCAGTGGTGAACATGCACTAAGAAAAACGTTATGTTTTGGTCGAAAGATCAAACAAAATCCAACAAGTATCATGTATAGTGTAGTTCTAAGATTAACAAATATGTAATTCATTTACACATGGCCTTAACTATGACACTTGGTAAAATGAGACTACCACACAGTTTTAAAAAGAACTAAAAAAAACCTGAAAAGAATTAAAGCTGTGCTGACTTATTTATCTAGTAAAATTCTAGCCATTTCCGAAATGGTGTGTTACATTCATTGTTCCTGAAGACACACAGAATAGATATTTCTCTTCATTCCTCCTTAGAAATGGAGCGATACACTGTATTTTAGCAACAACATCAAAACCATCCATCTAGGCTTTAAAGCTCCTCTATCATTTCGAACATCTTATTAAACGGAATTTATAACTAGGTATCTGTTCAGATAGTTTATACCTCATTTTTTTTGTCCATCTTCGTTAGAAGTGAGGAATGTTTTTATTATTTTAATAGATTTAATAGGCATACATTGCTTGTTACTTAGCGTAAAATAGTTTAGACATCAACTAAAGAAAGAGAACTCAGAATATCAGAATTATACACAGAAAACACTGAAATGAGAACACTGTTTAACAAAGACAAATATTTGAAGAAAACTGATAGATAATCTAGCTGAAATAATACTGGGTATGTAGCACAGAACAAGAGATTTCATGCCAAGGGAAGCAAATGTGGCTGTAGGCAGAAATGTAGCTTCTACTATATTAATAGTATGCTGATAAACGCTGTCTTTTTTAATAGAACAAATTTTGAATTGCAGCAAGATTCTAACCGAACGCCTCGAATTACTAATGTGGAACTGTGCCAGATGAACTACGGCACCTAAGTGCTAAACAGGTCACAATTTCTCTGGAATCATCACGCGTAATGTGTAGCAGTAACAAGAATGAATAGTGCGTTGCTTCACGTTTACTTTCATACTACCTACTTAGAAAGGTCTTCTGACAATCGTAGTCATAGTAAATACTACGTAGAAGAGCAGATTCTTAGCTGATGAGATGTCATTACTAGTTTTCACTTCGTCAAAATGCTGACCAGTTTAGTAGTTGAATATCATAACCCAACTGGTAATTATTATTATTGTTCCCTTGGGTTCCTAGTGGAACAGAAGGCTTCAACTGCACGTCTCCACTTGCTTCTGTCTTGTGCTGTACTTTTCACTTGCATCCATGTTAGTCCATACTGTTTCAGTTCCTCTTCACACGATCTCCTCCATGTCACCCTTGGACGTCCCACTCGCCGCTTCCCTTTCGGGTTCCACTCGAGGGCCTGACGTGCAATGTCTCCCAACGGCCTCCTCAGCGAGTGTCCAATCCATCTCCACTTTCTCCTGCATATATGTTGAGCGGTTGGTTTTTGTTTTGTTCGTTCCCATAGCTTCTTGTTTGTGATTCTTTCCGGCCATCTAATCTTCAGTATAGAATGAAGACAGTTGTTGATAAAGGTCTGCAACCTGTTGAAAATATTCTTGGTGACCCGCCAAGTTTCTGATCCGCATAGAAGAACTGACTGACTTGACGTTTGTATTGAAAATCCGAATTTTATTGTTGATGCTGAGTGACGAAGATTTCCAGATTGGTTTCAGGTTGATGAATGTGTTTCTCGCCTTCCCGATTCTCGACTTGACATCCTCGTCCGTTCCTCCTGTAATTGAGACAATGCTCCCTAGATAAGTGAAAGAAGTAACCTCTTTCAAATCCTTCCTGTTGATGGTGATTGGCGCTGGATGTTGCTGTTGTTGTTGTTGGTTGTTTATTTTCATAACCTCCGTCTTGTCTGTGTTCACCTGGAGTCCTGTCTTTTCTGCTTCTCCAACTGGTAAACAGTGGACTAATAATTCGACGAACACTTTTTCAAATCCTGCTGTGAACGAGATTTGCATTTTACCCTCAATTCTTACCATTACATTAACAAAAACTTGCCTACACAAGACTATTTCAGTTAGTGTCCCCATCAAAATAGATTCTGCTTTATTTACCTGAACAAGTTTTGTCATTGTGTGTAAAAGAATTTGTCTTCAGGCAACTACTGTTTGTCATTCCTTCCATTTGCGTGAGTACATTTGCTACAGTAGTGGTTTCATCTTTAGAAATATTCTCACAACTGGGAATATGTACTAAATAATCACCAATCAGTTGAGAATAATGTTTAATTAATAACGCTTAATGTATCCGAGAATTCATTCACTTTAATTTATTCTTCTACTATTTAGTCGATTCTCGGTGGAATGAAAACATTACAACTCGACTTTATTCAATCTCGTACCGCAGATACAGCAAAAAGTTTAATGGAAAAATCTTTGGTAGAAGGATATACTTATCCTGAGGTAAGTAAATACCTTCTGTTGGTTCTTTGATCAATTACTAAAAACACATAAAAGTTAAATTGTGATTGCAGGATACGTTCTTATGAGAACCTTAATCTTGAAAACTTTGGACTTCCTTCCCTCTCATCAAGAGGTACAAACTCAAATAAATTATTCATGAAATAAAGCCTGGAATTCTGTGTTTTATATCCTAGAAACTGAAGTGTAATTTACAGCTTGTTTATTTAAGTATTTTTAACAAGGCCGGCATTCGGGTAGTATTGAAACTAAGAAGCTTATTTAAACAGAAAGTATGTGGTGCCGACTATTCAGAATAGTTTATGTTATTCACGGTTATCTAATCATTTTGAGATCAAGTAGATAAAGCATATTAGTGGATTGGAGCAATTTCCACTATTAAGTGAACCGTAAAAGCATTATAAATATATTTTGGAATTTCTCTGCTTAAGATAAAAGACAGTGCAGCAAAGAAAATCTATCTTGTCGACAATGTCACCATCAGAGGATATACAAAGTTAAAATTCCCAAAATGTATGGTTATATTATTAAGTAATTCCGAGACAGAGTGACATTATTGACGCAGTTACTCAGATGCAGGTCCTATAGATGGAAAAGTTAGAAGTGCATAATAATGGACTAGGCAACAGAGGTAAAGGTTTAAAATTTGACATGACGAAAATCGCCACTAAATGAGAAGAAAGAAGAATTTCAGGTAGTTTGCAGCTGATGAGAACCTGTGAAATAGAACGATATCATTTTATACTGCAAATCTGGTCTTTCTTTCTCTATCGAAATTTATCAAGGGAACCAAATGTATGAGAAGAAATTAGTTGAGTGTCTACTTGTTAAGTGTGAAGTTGATGCAAAAAAGAAAACGAAATGCACCATAGGAACAAGTGGCCGCATTAGTAGTAGTAATAATAAACTACTTAATAATAACTACATTCAACAAGTAGGACTAATTTTAAGACTATGGTGAAATGAGAGATTTGACAGACTTTCCAGGCATGCTGAGTTCAGATTTAACAAATGGCTAAAGCCTCTTTCATGTAGGTGTTGCTGCTGCTTTTAGCATTCAGCCTTTTTTGATAGAAATTTAAAAGACTGTGATGACGTTGTGTGGTCCAATCTCACCAGATACTTAGGAAGCGAGTTAGTTATTTACCCTTATTGCCGTCTTGGTATTAATGTCGTGCATTGCTTTGAGATATGTATTCGAAAATTGTATGCTTTATACGAATGATTCAACTGGTTGCACAGCGGCAACTTAATTTGCAGATACTCACTTCATTATCAGTTTTTCTCCATGTATTCACCAGTTGTTGGTCTACTGAAGGACTTAATTCAAAGCTCAGCTAAAAGACTACTTTCTTCAACGATATGGATGAGCAATTTCCGGTCATTTTACACAGTGTTATGACTGAAATTTCCATTAATAAATGGTTTATTCATATCGCTTTATTGTTGTGCTGTAGGGTGTGACTGGTAGCTTCACTACTTTGAATATCGCTCATCACAATTCCATATTTTTCATCCAATTAATTAGAAAATTAGACAATGTATTGCCAACAAAATCATCTTGTTGCACTGCAGAATTACGTAATTATAAACAAATTATTTATAAAAGGTCAGGATAAATAAAAAGAATTAAAAATGTTGACATTCTGATTACATACTTATTATCTCTGACCGGTCTGTCAACTTCTTCAGGAATTCACTCTTAATCCCCTGCAATTATATTTCTTTTGATGTAATCAAAAATTATCATCGCATATGATAAATGTCATGAATTGTCCGCTTATTACATAATTTCTGCTTCTTTTCTTAGCCAATTAATTAAGGTATTGTCTGAAATATAACTTTTATCAGTAGGATGAAATAAGCCACTGACTGACATAAGGAGCTCGAAACATCTAAAGTCAACAACTAATACTTTCTACTACTACTACTACTCATTTTGATGAGTAGTATGTTTGTTGTCTTTTAACATCATTTGTACTGTTCAACAGGTTAAAATTTTTTTTGGTCCTTACACGTAACTGTGTTGAAATTTTTCCTTTAACTGCCTAATTTGGGAATGATAAATTTTATTCGGTAGTCTACTTCATCACGAGTTTTTTTAAATAATTTTTTTTATTAAACGAAAGTGTGAACAATTTATTCTTTAAATGTTGCATCTATAAATAATAGTTTTTTCTCTTATAACATCTGGTCAAATTTCCAGTGTTCAACTGAGAACTCTGTCTGATCGATTGAAAAAAAGACACCGAAATCCATTTTTAATGACAATAAGATGGATGGTTTTCACGGAAACCTAAATAACTATACCACGATGAAACAGAAAAAATATTTCACCGCCTTCTTCATGTCATATTCTTTTAATTTCAGTTACTTTTTTCTGTAAAACTGCCCTGATTGGTGAATGGAAATGCAGAGTATAACACAAGTTTCATTGGACAGAGATTATAATATGTTTATATGTTTTTCAAAGTGGTTTTGAAAAATTTCATCCATTTTTCTTTAAATGTCTGCCTTAACTCTCCTGTTTTTTGCACTTTTCATCTTATTCTCCTTATCACCATGTAATTCTTTCTCACCTGCAAACAGACCTTCTTTGATGAAGTCGATGAAATTTGGCGTGATCCGGGAGTTCAAAGAGCATTCACAAGAGCCAGTGAATTTCAACTATTCGACTCAGCTACTTAGTGAGTAAGCAACACTTATCATTTGTAATAAACGTGCAAGAAATGAGAGAATCGAATAAAGCGGTATCATTATTTAGGTTACCACTAGTTTTGTGTAATACTTTTACCTCAGTATTGATAAATGCAGTTCATGTAAATAAATTTATCTAGAAGTTTGAATTTAACTGTATGATAAGTTGGTCTTTTTAGAGGCTTTAGCTAACTTTTGTACTGATTATTTAACAGTTGCTTTTAACACTAGGAAAATATTTCTGTTGGCATATACTACTGATTTAAATGAGTAGCTGGATACCACTCAAGACAACTAGTGATATGTGCATATATACTGTTCTGTTTGATTTCTTGATTGTTATTTATGTTACAAATCAAATCATGAAACCATGGTGAATTTTAACTTCAGTTTGAGTAATTCGTAGATAGCATGTTTGATTTGAAAACTCTGTCTTTAAGACAACAGGTACGACTGATGGTTTCTGATTACTGCGATAAGTTGTTTCACCATTTTGTGAGTGGAAGAATAAAATAGTTACGAACAATTGAATCTGCCCGTAACCATCTTAAATAAAAAACTGAAGGGACAAACACATGCAATCATGACCATTTCTTACCTTGAAAAAATAAAGTGTACTGCAAAACGGCGAAATAAATAGATAAGATATCAACAACGTATAGGATGCGCCAACTACTTAGTTTCATAAGGAAAACTGGTGGTGGGAAAATGTATGAAAATTAAGGTGATTTTCAAGAACAGTGGAAACATGAGTGAAACTTTATGCATTCCATCTGGTTTATAGATGTGCTTCTCCTGTTTACAGTCCATCCCGATACTGAATGAAATGTAGATATTGGTTATCCAATTGTCTGTTGGGTTGCAAGAGGCTGTTTTGATCTGAAACAAGACACGAAAGCAGGAACTAACGGCCAGTGCGAAACAAACTGAAGAAAACCAAACACACTTTACCCTCAAACAGTGGTTCGTTGATCAAATCCTCACAGACAAACTTCGGAACACATGTGTACTTAATATCGTCTAAAAGTTGTCATATTTATAAAATTGAAGGCAGCCCTCAACTCCATCGGTCGAAAAATGTTGTGTGAAAAGTCAAAGTGATTTAAATTATGCAAATAACATGCACCCTTCAGTTTAGGACGTTGAAAAAAGCAGATTTTTTCAAACACATTGAGAGTGAAGCTGATTATGCCTGACATGCCATTCGCTTCTGTCCAATATTAGATGGTGTTTCAGGACTGGTCTGCACCATATCCTAGCTTAGAAATGGGAGATGAATTGGTTGAATACACCAAACAATTCATTTACGTAGCATGTTGAAACAGTCCCAGTCAAATTATTGCTGGCAAAATCTCCTCAAAGATACAGATTTCCATTTGGTGTTCACCAGCTTGCACCTTGTCTGGCGCCTACGTGCTATCTGACTACTTACAAAAGGACTCATGCACTGTGCATTAGTAAAGTGTCTTGATTTACGACTGTGTTATGTGATTGCTGCAGGAAAGTATTTGATTAAGTTAGCAGTTTGCCACCGTAGATGCCTCTGTTTAATATCTCATGTTTTGTGCAATAATGTAGTCACCTTAATCGGGCTACTTGTGAAACATTAGATAAGAAAGGAAAGTCAATCGATGAGACTACAAAACTGCATCAGTTAGAGGAGGTCATACGAAAACACGGTAAGAAACTATAACGCCTATAACTTTCGCGTTGATTAAACTAAGGTGTAGACCATTTGGATGCAATTCACAGAGCGTACAAAATCAAAAGATGCTGGCTTTCGACGATATGGCCCAAAGCAGTCTAAGATGGCGCAGCTGCATTCACTCTTTTTTATCTTCCACACTCTAAAATTTCCCAATAATCTTCTCTCTCGCGTGCATCTTTATCCACTATAGTCCCATTACATTTTTTCACCAGGTTTGTTTGTGTTTCTCTGAAATTTGACAGCCTGAACTGCTACGTTATTGTGATGAATTCTACGCTGTTAAATCAGCTATTCAGCAGTGATTAAGCTTAGGATATCTGATTTCTGATCACATTTCAACCACAAATATTTGGTGCACTAGTAACAGAAGTAAAATTAGACGATACTATAGTTTTGGAGTAGTTAACATAGCAGCCTACGCACCACTTGGAATTCCGCTATTTAAGTCCAGCTTTGACACAAACATCTTTTCCGATATTTCAGTCGATAATTTATAAAATTTTCAGTGGCCTAATGGAAGACCCTTGATTCTTATATTCAGTAAAATAATACACCTAAACATTGCGCTAGTGAAATATTTCCGTAGATATATCATTTCTTCATAACTTATATTCAGACTTTGTATTTCTAATAATTATTTCTCTTCAAAAGTCTCTTTTTGTTATCTCTAATGTTTAGCTTTATGCGGCGAATGGATACTATCAGAAGATCAGATTATATACCAACAGACCAGGTTTGTATATGATATGTTGTGCATCTCTTTGATGTTATTTACCTAATGAATTCAAAAATTTAAGATATATAATTATTGTTTATAGGTGTCACTTATAACGTTCAAATAAATCCTGATAGAGTTCAAGGCATATTCATGATAGTATAATTTATTTAGTTACTGTGTTTTTCTATATCGCATAACACTATCCGTTACAGCAGATTAATCAAGCATCCTGTTGTGTAACTGTCAATTTATAACAGACTTTATCATGTACAGACGTTTAGTCTTCAAGCATAATTGAGTAGCGTTTTCTATAATTTCACTGCAGTAGAATAGTTCCGGAGTTAATGTAGTAAATTACTAATACAAGTTTACCGTCTTACTGAAATGTTGTGTTACGTGTGCGTAATCAAAGTTATTTGGTCTAGAGAAAGAAGCTTCAAACTGATGTTTTCTATTATCAGTAGAAATATAACTGTGGCTACTAATTTCAAAACTTCTCAGTTTAGATTGCGGTGAATACCACTACAGTTAATACCCAAACGCAGTAAAAGGTTGGAGGTGATTTTTAATTGTGAATTCGCAATTCCAATAAGGAAGCGTTTCGTATACATTGTTCATCATCAGTGACAATTATTGGTCACAAATTCCTCATGAAGAACATAACACCTATTGGGAGAGTAGATGTGTCATCGATGGAAATTCAAAAGTGACGCATACACCATGGGATTCTATAATACCAACACATCAGCAATATTCGAAAAGCGGTGATCATTAGGCAGGAACGCTCGTCGGTGTTGAACATCGCTATGATGACGTAAATCAGACGGCAAAAAGAACAATGAAAAGTTGGTAAAAGTCAAAAGACAATCAAATGAAGAATAATCAGATGATTGAGTCAGAAGTGGAAAAACAACTCCTTCAAAAATGATTAAATTACAATACTGGTAACGCTTCAAAACAAATTTCTTCTCTGCACTACGGTCATTACTCAGAGCATCGAAATTAAATGAAAAGGCCCAACAAGAAATATGTTGAAATGTTGTACCTACCACCAAGAAAGAAAAAGCATAGTGCTCAAAACAGTACTCAAGATCAATACAACTTATAAAGCCAGAAGACATTGTTTCGCTACTAAGTCACAAGTGAAGGTCAGTAAAGCAATACAGACTTTTATTGTTTTGAAATCAATGAGAAAACCTACTGTACTCAGCATAGGGAAAAAGAGTTAATTCATCACCTCTATTGTCAAATCAATGCTGCAATATGATTAAGAGATTTGTCGTGTCACATAAAGTGCTTCGAACACGCTGCAGACTTCTATCGACACCTGCCTTCATTTCAAACTGAAAATCAGATGATCATAAGGGATAAGCGACGATGAACGCTGGCAATGAATCAACCACGAACCGATTGCCATTGAAATCTTCAGAACTAAACGGAGATAGGTTGGACAAATGCTGAGGAGACCGTCAACTAACATCACTCGGCAGACACTCTAGTGGAACCCGAATGGGGCATGAAGAGTTGGGAATCCGAGGGCAATATGATGGAGATCGGGAGGGGGAGGAAATGAAAGCTTGTGGTCAAAGAAGACTGCAAAGAACAGAGTGAAATGAAGATAGGCTACTGACCCCCCATATTCCACTCGGAACCCAATGGAATAATAATAATAATAGCAGTTACAAGGAAAGGAGCAAAAACATCATGAAGAAAGCAGTGGATTTATCGATAGAAAATAGTGTATATCAATGAGTCCCTATGAATCCTATAAAAACACTTCATAATTAGATAGAAAGAACGTTAAACAAGCTCATATGATCTGGAGAAATTCCAAAGTAAGATCAGTGGCAAATGAAATTTAACGGATTCCTTTTATCTGGATTTTACGCCAGACCCAAACTGCACAAACTAAACATCTCTCTTCCACTACTCATTTCTCTCTCACTAACCTCAACTACAACGTATCCGGAGAACTCTATGAGAAGTCAAAACACCCAGTAAAGTCATGTGAACAGTCTATCAGATCATCAAACCATTTCACGCGAACAGTCAAAGAAATTCAACTAGATCAATCAAATTGTCGTATCATTTGATGTTGCAGTGTTATACACTTCAACTAAAGAAAAGCCGAAGAAATAAACCATACAATAACTTCTCAACAATGATGAACATCTCTGAGAACACATAAAAATGCAGTACTAAAGCTGGATAGAGGTTATAACTTTGTGAAATTGAATATAGTACTCAAAAATATGAACGAATAAACTGAAAACTACTGAGATTTTCTAAAGACTAGAGACCACACTTCTTCAAACAATCGGACGTTACGTGCACGATACATTCATCATCATGAGAAAAAGTGACCTAGAAGGTACCCACAATCCAAATAGCGATGTTTCCAATAATAAAGAAACTAAAGCAATACTGGGAAATTCCTAGAAGTCTAGCACTCAGATCAATTCTCTGTTAACAAGCTCTTAAATATTATCTAATATTCCAGCCATCGGGGAATAAATTACACGACTAAAAGACCAAACATCAGGTCGACTAGATGATCAGTATCAATACAATTGATCACGGTTCTAATAAGATCTCCAGAGATAAACTGTCACAATCAAGGTCATCAATGGAAACAGATATTTAACCCATGAAGAGCTCCAAAATCTCAGTTTACACTGAAGTCAGTGCTAAAAATATTATCTAGAAGGACAATGAAATCTTCATAACTGAACCATCCTGTTCAGTTAACGCAGCTCATTTGCTTCGAAAACCATGTATACGAATTGTTATGGTTTTACCTCACATGAAACTGAAGCTTATAATAACGATTAGTAGGTATTAAAACTTAAGGTGAATCCTATTTATTTCGATTATATCAATAAACGCAGATGTAATTAAAGGTCAGGTGAATTACATGACACAAATGGACGACAACGTTGTGTGTTAGTTTGCAAAGTCAGCTGATTTAAGAAATTAATAGACCACACACACACACGCACTACACACTGACAAAACAATAAGTGATGGTAATAAAATCACTTTTAAATAAAAATGTGTAGTGGTAGTAAATGAATGGTAACAGCGGTTGTTTTCGTTAGTGTTGTCGTATTTGATTGTAATTCTTATGGCTTCTGAAGTTTGGGTGATTTAGGAGCTTGATATGACGCTTCTAGATGACCTAGACTCGGTTCATTTTATTACATTTAATGAACTTCACATGTTGTATTATTTGCTCAGTAAACTTATATCTCGCTAAACTACATTTTTGGACAAAAGTATGGAAATGAATACACATATTCGGTCAAACAAAACATCATACGAACTGTGAAATATTCAGGCAGCTCCTGTTATTATTCCATCTGCTTAAAGGGATGGAAGATGCAAATTGCAATTAGAAGAGATGAACTGGAGAAGAGGAATAGCACAGATATCAACGCTGTAAAACCAAATAATCTCAAGAGAACTTTTAACTAATTTTATTAACTCAGATGACGTCAAGACTTTATCACTTTGATTCATTTCCTTACCGTTTGGCTAGTGATATTCCTAAAGTTACTAATAATGCACAACTTCATTATAATGGGATTAATTTGTTGAAATTATTTGAATTTTCCTTCGGTTGATTTTATTAAACCCAAATAGTCCGTTTCTGTTGACATGTGAGCTTCTGGTATGGATGCTTCGATGATCTTTGGAGGTGGCTCACCTGCCTAGTGGATAATGCTTTGGTATTCCTATCGATTGTGTGAATTTTCAGTCTCATTAGGAACGTCATTACACATTTAGGTGCAAGCACACCAAGCTGACGATGGAAAATTAGGTTGAAACGCGTGATCTGGGTCCAATTCGTAGCCATCATCAATAAAAATAACAACAGAACTGATTGTTCTCAAATGCCCTTAAGTACCAGTTTGAAACAATACCCTACCATCACAGTGAAAATAAAAATGCAAATTTCAAATAAATTATGTTAGAATTGGGAAGTAAGTTTATGAAATTTTATAGGTATAACGCTAATTAAATATTTGGAAACCTGAAAAACTTTTAGTTAATGCTATTACGAAATAAAATATAACACACCTATCTGGTATAGTTTTCACAATTAGTATTAAAATTAGAACTTCCCAACAGTCCTAATGAACCCATTTGTTATATCGCATTATTTATTGTTGCATCTCACATTTTATGTAATTTATACAGGATATTTTGCGATGTCGGAAAATGACTGATAGTATAAGTGAACTACAATTCGATATTCAAACTGGTCGAAAATCCTCAGTTCGATTTCGGTAGGTTACTTCAGTGAATACAATTACATATATATATATATATATAAATATTTGTGCATCGGTGGTTTAATTAGCAGAATTCTCGCCAACCACGCACGTGGTCCAACATTCTGTTCCTGGTCGACACACTCTTAAGCCTCACTTAACCGGTAGTAAACATGACAAAGATGGAAGCTTGGGCGGGAGGCTAGTAAATTTCACCTAGAATGCAGAGAAATAAATAAATATATACTGTCAAATGTCGATCAAGTTTCTTGTCAGAACAGGCAGAAGACAAGCTAGATTTGGTGTTATTTTGTCCGTTTATCCATGCTAGCAAACAGTAGGGAGATTAGACTTTTACCCGTTGCTACCGTAAGATAATTATTTATCAGCTATATTTTATGCCACATTTTATGACCCACGCATTTTCCTTGAGTAGTGAGACTGGTCTTCTCAGTTCGCCTTCTTTTTCTTTTCTGTACTGCGGCGGCATTATTCAAGCAATCACCTGTCTACTATCGTGTACCCAATGGATGTGGGGACAAAATGGATATCTTTCCAACTGATAATTTGACATCCAACCAAAAACCCGGGTCATTATTCAACGACTTCATTTCCATATACAAAGCCTTTAAACTATGGCTTTATCATTGATAAAGATATAGCACTTATGAGTCATAGCCGTATGTATTTTCATATTACTCCGCCTATTAAATAAATGTCATGATAAAACATTATTATTTACTGGACAATATTCTGAAGACACTTTATTCGTCACACTCAGGATATTTGTAAATTCAAGACTTTGAGATACGGCATTGCTGTTCTTATTACTTCCTTTCTCGTGAGGGTAATGGAATTTCTCATATTTACCGGGAACAGATGTTGAATCACTGTTATTGTATGTATATGCATATGTATATATACATTCTAGTGAAACGTTTATATTGATTCAGCAGTGAATATATGTGTTGGGAATGGTTTAACACCTGTTCCGAATATCTGAAAAACTCTCTTAATGAAGAAGAAGAAAACAATAACTTTACAAAACACGTCTTAACGTTATGTACTTACTTCTGATATGATTATGGATGATAAAATGTCTTTAAAACGTTATCTTTTTGTAAGATACATTTACAAAACTGTTCATGCCGGAATGAGTGAAAATATACCTGACTCACTAGTGACATGCACTGAACAACTAATATACAGGAAATCTAAAATTCAACAATGAATCTGCATTCATTGCTAGAGGCGACTTCTAAATATCATTTAAGCCTAATGTGTTGTAAATATAGCTTTAATGGAATACTCTTTGGCTGATTGCAAATGCAAGTCAGGTTTATTAACGTAAGTCTAACCTACTTACCTCATATGTAGGCTATATGAAACATGTTTAACATAGAAATATTCTTCTAACAATTCATGATCTTGTGGAGGATCATTCTAACTTATATTCTCCATTCATTCTATAAAATATGAAGCAATTCATAAAGTACATAAAATTTTCTGTCTACATGCCTTTCAGTTATTTTCCTAATGTGAATTTAGAAAAAGGAAAACATTCATCCATATATTAGCTAATTATGTTCAACTTATCAAAATTTCGAAACCTAACTGCCACTTTAAACATTACTGATAATAGTTTCAATTTTGAGCACAAAAGAGGTTATGCACAATGAAAGGCTCACTTAAAAAGGCAGGGATTTGTAAATTCATTGGATAATCATTTTCTTATTTGATACACTGAATTAGATAGGCTACTTAAGCTTTCCTTGGTGGTCTTCCACGTTAAATGACATTAACATCACATTAACTGAAAAACCATATAATCAATGTTGGATCTTTGGAGGCCATCTACAGGAAGTTAGTAATGGAATATAGGATGTGTTTTGTTTTATTTGGGACTTATCAGCCGAAACTACCTGCATTCTATTGAGTGATGAAGTTTACTCTGAGACTTGAAACCAATGCAAAATTTACAGCTTTCAAGAGCTAAAAATATCGTATAATTAGTGAAACAAATAGTAAAGATAGAATTTGACAACGAAATGGCTGAAAAGAGGAATACACGCATTTATTAGTGCTCGACGCCATGAACAGTTATTGAGAAAAGTTGATGCATACAAACGAGTTCATTATGGACTGTTATAAAAACTATTGTTTTCTTAATATTTCTCTAAACTCATTGAAGCATAGTTGATGTCAGTGGACAAAGAGGTGCACGGAAAAAGTGGATCCAATTTTTTGACAATGTAACTGCAATTTTATTTCTTGTGGACTGCAGCAGTTTTGATCAAACACTTCTTGAAGACAACCGACAGAATCGTTTAATTGATTCACTTGAAGTATTTGAACAGGCATGGACTAATAAGTAAGTTAAAGTATGCATTTTTTTTATTTGAACCTCTCTAGATTCGTAAAACATTTATTTCTCACTTACAAAGTGTTTTTTAACTCACTAAGGGTGTAAAGAATAAAATTCTTCTCAATAGATAGTCTATTTAATCTATGAAGATGAGGTAAACTTAGATGTTTGACTATCATCACCCGTAAAACATATCTGATATACGATGAAACCACTTCGTGAGTAGTAGTCATATGAATTACTGCATCAAGAAAGTGAATCATACGTTAGGGTATTAAAGCAACATCACCAAACAACGTTATGCATCCAGACCCTTATTATTCTGAAATCTATTTATTGAGAACAAACTCCGGGGTAAGGCAACAACAATAAGATGGCAACCTTTTTGGTCAGTTAGTTTATTTGAGATGCTCAGGAATAATCGAGAGTAGTAGCCAAACCTTTAATTTGATGAAGCTCAAAATAAATTGCAGCTACGTCAATGCATATATTTCGCACCTGTGTGCTAACCTTGATGTAATGATCGTGGTATGATCATCGGTAATCCTCTTCAATCGTTGCTAACATATGTCTTTCAAATGAAAATAGTTCCCCTTGTTAGCACACGGGATAAATGATGGAGGTTATCTTCAGGTATACAGCTTTTAATCACCTTTTTTCCTGAAAATGCGTATCCTAATGTCTCTTACAATCACGTAGCTTTATTTTAAAAACTTTCAAACGGATTCTGTCACTCTTCTCCCAGAAATTAATTGATTGATACACACTAATTTGTTAACAGTAAATTTGATGTTGGTCTAGAAAACATGTCGATGAAGAATATAATAATCTGTTATTATTTGAAAGTTAGTCACTGTTGAAGCCCATGTAGCATAATGTCATGAAGAAGTTGAATTTCGTAATACAGACTGAAATTGCTGAACACTAGGATATGCTTAAATTTCAAGTTAATGGGGATTTCGACTAGTTCCTCTGTAGATTTCTTTAAAAACTGTCGAGAATCTTGCAGCAGTAGAAAGCTGTTTCATTCTATTTACGGGCTCTTCAGAAGTAAATTTCCACAATCCAATCAGAAATCAAACCCACGACCCTCAGTTTAGCAGCTGAGCCAGCTGACCATTCATTCAGAAGCTTGGAATACAATAGTTTATGAATTCTAACTCTTATCAACCCGTGAAATAGTGGCATCAAGGGCAATCCAATTTACACTCAGCTCGATGGATTGCACCAGTTCTGTATCACGAAATGAGAGTTGTCATGATTCATCGACTATATGATTTCATGCCAAAATGTGAATGGTCGGAAGACTCGGCTAGTAGCCTAAATATTCTGGATTCGATTCCTGGTAGGGTCCTGCTGAATATAAAACATGCTGATCGACAAACCTTAATACCTAACATATCATTAGGTGACGTCTCACCGTTTATTTAAGTTTGCATATTTGTGAACACATTTGAATGGAAAAGAAATTGCCGTGCTAAAGAGAAGATGATGTTTCATGCACTGATAAAGTTTGAATCAGGGATGAAGTCAGACACTCTGAGTGTTGTGAGTGAGATCAAATTTTTTATCGTTATGTACCGCAAAAAATGAAACCTAAACATTTTTCATTTAGATGTTTTGAAGGATTCTTGCTGAAATTTGCAAGCTAATTCATTAATCTAATATTTTCAACTCAGACTGATAATTTTCTCAGTCTGCTGCCTTTTAATTTAAACTTCTTTAATTTACCATTCTTCTCTTTAACACCATTTCTAAGGTTAAATCTGTCACTATCGTATTTGTTTTCTACAAATATCTGTTTACTTGTCCCTGTGTTCTCTTCTATTTCTGAATGAAGTGATTTTATAATTAAACGTGTGATAAGATGATTTGAAATGTATCTCTAAAAGACAATATTTTTTTCATCTCAAATACAATTTTCATCCGTGTAACTTATATCTATGAAGGAAATTTCACTGAAAATTACCATCAAGAAAAGAATCATTGGAAATCAAAGAGCTGTTTTACCCTACTTCGGAACTCTCACAACCCCATTGGGAATAGAATCTGGGAGCTTCATATTGACTTGAAGATTATTTAGCTGGTGATTTACACTCTACTCACCTGTAAATTCCCACTCCCGTCAACTGGTGAACATTAATCAACATTAACTAATCTTCTTTTCTATAACTGGCTTGAGGAAACTGTGTGCGCGCACTCATCCAAGATTTAACATCAAATTCAGCTCATTTTAATGATGTTACTTTGTTTGAACTATGAAATTCATTGACAGATTTCAGTCAGGTTTGAATATTAGAGAAGATATGAATGCAGCAAGACTCTAGGGTCTGTCGAAATAAAACAGTTGCATTCATTTTCATCAGGTTGTAAAATCACTTGGTGTAGACGTTTATTATCATTGTGGCCAATAGAATTAAGCACTGTCCAATGTAATTAAGAAGAAAAATAATAAAATCTACGAGCAGCCCTATATTTGTGCTACTGACGACAATGTATGAGTAACTTGTTGTGTGTGATATCTGCTGCAAGAATCTTGAGCAGCAGCGAGAAAGATTAAGTGCTAAAGAAGTGATATGAAGATCCTTTAAAAATAATGTGGAAGCCATGAATCATGAATACAAATGAAGCAGAATACGAGTACCTCTTGAAAATGGAAACTTCAGTTCAGAGTTTTCGTAGTTTTACCAACATTGTACAATATTTTGTCAGATAAATAAAGTTCATCCTGACCTGTGTGTGTGAAAAGATTGGTCTGATCTCGTCACATCCAATGGACTTCAACTCAGACGCAACCAGAATCCCATTCTTTCTTGGTTATATTCTCGCTTATGAATATCGAACACTGATATAATTTCCAAATAGCCGATTGGATAACATTTTGGTATTTAAACCAGTGGGCTCTCTGTTATACTTTCACTCAGAACAGTATCACTTACTTGAGGACAGGTACATATGGCTAATCATTCATAAATAGGACAAAATGTGAGTCCCAGATTCTAATGATAGCCACCATCAGCCGAAAAATGACTGGATATCTAGATTGCATAAGCACTTACATTATTTTATTGTTATCTCATTGATTAGTATCAACTTGTTCATGGACTTGGACTACAGTTAAATAAGCCACCAGTATATCAAATATCCGTGCTAAATAATTTTGATGTGTGTTTGCAAAACTTGGCGAAACGTTATGATAAATATTCACTGGCTTCAACTGTGCTCGCTCATTAGCATAACTGAATATTTAAATCAACTGCATATTGTTTTGTTTTTTATATTTAGATACCTGAGACAAGTCCCAATGATTGTTTTCTTGAATAAAATTGATCTTCTTGAAGAAAAAATATGCAGCGGTCATAGGATAGATAAACTGCATACACTAGCAGAAACTTGGCTTCAGTCTACCAGGTGTACAAGACGTAAAAAGTCACTTCTTAATCTTCCAGAAAAATTAAATATAATACGTAATAATTCATCCCTATTTAATGCAGATGTAGGTTTTGATAAGCGCACATCATCGAAAAGGCAAAGTATTACATCAAGTCGAATAAAACTCCCCACTGCTGTAAAATCTGCATCAGCTGGTTACACGTCAAGCAATCGTAAATTTAGTCAAACACTAGGTGATTCATCTACAGCTGAACATACACAGAATAATGATACGTGGAGTGAACAAAATCAAATCAATAAACAATATAGTAGTGTAAATTCATTACGTTCATCATTTAAATTAAATCACACACCTGATTATTGTACAGTGCTTCCAATACTTGGTACATCATCATCAAGTGGTCAAAATAGTCGTGTATCATGTACAACAACTATTGCTCGTTTAATCACTGATTGTCCGTATAAAGATTTTAAACCAACAGGTAAGTTTTCTTAAAGTAATGTTGTTTTATTTTTAATTTTAAAAACAATACAAAATCTTTGCTGGGTATGAAGTTTTGTTGTTTAGTGAACAAGGTGACTGTCTTGTCTCAATACACTTGTAGATAATAACCCTGAGACATTTTGAATTACTAATGTTGAGTTCCAGAATCAGTTAGAGCGCTGTCTCTGAGTTGTGTAGAAAAACAAATCCTTATTTTTTACACCCTTTTTGCGAATAGTTGATATCACTGTCTAGTGAAAAATTCACGATTTCACCTAAAAATAACCTTCTGATAAATATTAATGTAAGAAACTCGTAGCACGCAAGTGTTGTACTTGTTGAATTTTGAACAGTGAAGTTAAGTTATTGTGTGAACTTGAGGTCTTAGTATAAACGAAAGGTCTGTTATTTCTTTTTCGTGAAAAACAAAAAAACTAATGCACAGGACCTGTTTCATACTTGCTACATGAAAAAAGAGGCGTCACAGATGAAAACTAGTGAAATACAATTCACGATATTCGCCTTCAGGCGGAGATGGAAAGTTCTTCTAACTGTTCACAACTTTTGTGCTTTTATGCTTGCCTTGACAATCTAATTTCTTCCGTTGAACATACTTTTCCATTTCAGTCTTATCCACCTATGAAATATGTGGATAAATAAGTTGAAAATAAAATCAGTTAGGCCATTTGGTGAAAGATAATCGTGACCAGTAGGGTGCAGCAGGTCGGGTGCGAGGACAAATATTCGCCGAGGACATTGGCTAGGGGTCGCCCTATGTCGTGAATTGGCAGAAGTTAGAATTCATGAACCATTGGATCGGGTCCCAGTGGTCTAATGGTATACGAGGTCGCCCTGTAACCAGAAGGTCCTGGGTTCGAATCCCGGTGGGTGCGTACTGATGAAGAGTCACAAACTAGGACGAAATAGCTGTCCAGTACTCCCAGGTTTTCCAGTGGTTCTCTAACTAATGTCAGCTCATGATGAAAATCCTGTAAAAGAGAAACAGTTTCTTTTCATCAGTGGATTGTTCGTGTGGTCAAACCACTTTATAAACATAAGAAAAGTAGATAAAAACATATAAAACATGAAACAAATGGAAGTATTCACAATGACTACAGACAGTAGTGTGTGGTTGAAGTAAATTACGTTAGGGAAACTGATGAGTCACAACACCTGTGGGAGGGAGGGAACACGTTGCGGTACAAAACCATTAAACAGAAGCCCAATACTATTCTGAAAACGATTGTAGCGATGATGTAATTAAGTAGAGTTAGAAAATTCCAGGATTATATAAGGTCAGGGATCAAGGTACAAAGGAAGTAAGAGTAACCTTAAGGAGAAAGGCGAAAATAATACATCCCTTAGGCACATTTTTACTATTACTAATGGATTATGATTGCAGCATCTAATGAACTACACCAAGGTTAGAATATACTTCTTACGTAACACAGTTAAGCAACTGAAACATTGTTCAGGCATCCGTATAAATATAAGTCTAAAGCATCTCACAGAATACACTCATCATTGTTTGTATACAGTTTCGGGACTGAATATACAAGCTTTCTAAGTACTGAATGATACAATTTCTTACACCTACTTAACCCATATCCATCTCAAAAGTACAATAGCATAACTTTATTTTTTGGTCTGAATGACACTTCTCTGACGGACTTTCCCCTTGATCTGTCTGCTGTATAATGCTTAAACCTATTGGCGACTGCATCACTTTGATTAGTGATCATTCATGCTTATTACATCTTATATATGGAGAATTTTCTGAGTTAATGAAATCCTCATTCTATGAGGTAATTGAACTGTTCAGCCATATCTTCTTTTCATTTAAAGTGTCCTTTATTTTGCCTAAGACACTGCTAGCTTCTTGTAAAACTTTTTCTTATTTATCATTACCTTTCTTGGTGTAATGTAGCCGAAAATATACTGTCAGTGACTAAACTGAGAACACTGTCATCTTTATTATTATTGGTTTAAATTCAGAGTGCAACATAGGAATTCAACAGTAGATCTCCACTTCAGCAGTTTTTGCCAGCTAGTTGCACGATTACCCAGAGGCTTTCATCTTCGCCGCCTCCATGAGATCCTCGTCAAACTCGTCGTTTCTGATTCCAGTCTGGGGCTTGGTGTGTGATGTCAATCAATGGTCTACTCATAACTTGTCCAGGCTAACCCCATTTTCCCCAGCATATTTTTCGGCCGGCAGGTTCTTGAATGGTTCATCAAACAGCCGGAGTTTTTTCTTGCTAGTCCTTCATGATAATCTAATCTTCACTATCGAACGAAGACAGCTTTTGATGAAAGTCTGCAGCTAGTTGGAAATGCTTTTCGTGACTCACTAAGTCTCTGAGCCACTTGAAAGCACTGATTTGACATTCGCATTCATACTGCTTGTAGTCTAAACGACGCTGTCCAGATTCGTGAAGGAAGTAATCTCGTTTAAATATCTTCCGTTGACAGTTATTATCACCCCTCTCTTCTCTTTACTCACTTGAAGCTGTGTCCTCACTGTTTCTTCAGTCAGCTTTCTAGCTTTCACCTGTCGTCTTCTACTCAATCACTTATTTAAAATCCATTCTCAAAACACTTTGCGTTTGTATTTCTTTACACTTGTGAGTAATATTACCGTATTCTTGATAAGTCAGTTAACTGAATTCACTATTTTTCACTCTTCACCGTTTAGCCCAACAAAGAGCAGAATTCTTGACTTGCCTACTTCCATCAACCAAACCTATGAAACATATTAACCATAAGAATGGGAACAACAAATACGGAATCAATCATCACGCGGGCTACAACAAGAACCAAGAAGAAGAAGACCATGAAGACTGCAGACCATACAGTCAACAACCGAAGTTTATTGTCACACATCCAGAAACAATAAGAACTGCCTGTTATATTAAATTTTTATTTGAAGTAAGTTTTAGACCTGATGAGTTATTCTTTTGTAGCTGTAATTACATGAAATATGGACTATTGAAAAGCACCTCTGGGTGTTTTAAAGTGTTCTCTGAGATTATTTTGAGGAAACTCACTTTGATTATCTTTCACTTTGTCACATTTAAACGATTACTTACATCTACAACTGTTTTATCCTTATGGATAAGATGGTAATACGGGCCAGTAATTATCGATAGTACTCTTCATGTTAAAGAGTGTCAGTAGACAAATCTCTGGAATTTGACTGATTTTAAATCAGATTTCGTCTCCAACCAACATCATTTAGAGAATACCTCAAAATCCAGTGAGAAGGGAACAGCTATTTTGTTATCACCTAATCAAATGGGCAGGGTTTGGAAGTACATAAGCTAGAAGTTGAACATGAACCAGCTGCACGGCTGGTAAGCGTTCTACTATGGAAACACAGACTCATGAACATTGGAGCAGTACAATATGCATCTTTTTTTATTTTTATCACTCACTAGAAAACTTTCCGTTTCTTCTGCCAAGTGATTTCAAGTCAAATCAAGTTTACAACATTTTCAGCAGTCTGGGAAACCTGTCATAGCATTGCACTTTATATTCGAACGAATTTCTCCTTATCATATGATAAGTCCTTTTTATTGTATATTCTTATTAGTACTGAGAGAGTCTTGATATCTAGGGAATAAGGAGACGTTATGAGGTTAAGAAATTGTACTTCACTGAGTCTATGAAAGCCGGTTAACAAACAAGACGATGCAGTGCTGTGACGAAGTACAAAATATATAGGAATTTTTAAAAAATGCTATCAGGATATTGTTACATCACGACTAAATATTTTCTTCAGATAAGGATTTCTTCTTAACGAAAAGCGATAGGGAGCAGAAATTTAAATATTGTGAAATTCCTAGAAGTAAAACTGACGAATAGATAAGATAATACTAACTTAAATGTTTGAAGCTCATATTGTGAAAGTTTTGATAGCTTTTCTTCTCCTCAAGATTTCCTTTTTGCCTGCAAAGCTTTCAGTATTCACTTTCCGTTCCTTACACTGTGAACTGAATTTAGTTTCAATGGTTGGAGGATTTCATCATGAGCTGACATCAGTTAGAGAACCATTAAAAAACAGCTGGGAGTACTGGTCAGCTGTTTCATCCTAGTTCGGGACTCTTCATCAGTACGCAACCACCACAGGGGTCAGAACCAATACTTGAAAATTGACCTGATGCTCACTGGTGACTGGCCCTATTCAGGCAGTGACCTGAGGTTCTAATGGGAAGCCGTGACCAGTAGGGTACATCAGGTTGAAGGTGAGACAGTAACTCATCGAAGAAGACATTGACAAGTGGTCGTGCTGTGTCATGAGCTGGCAGAAGTTGGAATTCGTGGGCCACTGGATTGGGTCCCAGTGGCTTAACGCTCTACGAGCTAGCTCTCCTTGTAACCAGAAGGTTCTGGGTTCAAACCCGGGTGCGTGCTGTGAAGAGTTCCAAACTAGGACGAAACAGCTGCCCCGTACTCCCAGCTGGTTTTCCAATGTTTCTCTAACTGTTGTCTGCTCATGATGAAATCCTGCAAACAATCAAACAAAAATCACTACAAAACCAATACTTGAATTTAGTTTGTTCTTCAGTAGTGTTTACAAAGTTCTTTATATGAAATAGTTACAGTAATTGGTTATTATTGAGTAAACAATGTAATTTCAGCGTATTTATTACAGCCTTACAGAAGGTCAATCGTGAGCCCAAATAGCTCAGTGGTAATGTCTCTAACTGCAGCACTTTGTGATATGGGTTCGAATCTCTGAGGGAACATCAGTTCCTGTAAGGTGTCAGATAGGCTTTGCTATCAACTTCCAACAAGTACGAAACTTAGATGCAGCCCTTCCTACTAGTAACCTCCAATGACGTAATATATGAGGTCATTTCATCATAAAGCATCTTTTTCATATTCTAAGGCTTAACATGTACTCTATGATACTCTATGTATACACATATTTTTTTCATTATCCAGGAATTGACAAAACGAAGTACAGCTCCATATTGTCAAAATCGAACTTGTTTATTTTACTATACATGTGCTGTGAATACAAATATGATGCATCACATACTACAAGGCTGTCAAAGATTTTTAATTCAAGATCATTTAGAAAGATATGGACTATTGTAATACAAATAGACCGATACATAAATTGAATCACTTTGTTAATCATCTTCATTATATATATATATATATATACGTTTTGTTCTGTTCTCTGTTATTCATTCTGATTGTGACATTTAATATTGTTCATATTTAACACTGATAATATATTACTAATCTCAGTGTTTTATACGTTTGTTTATATTTTTTTGAAATAGAACTAAAAGTGCATATTAATTCATTATGTCATCAAAAAAGAAATATTTCATGAAAAAACTTATCTTTATTACCTCAAAAGATTAAGTTCACATGACTGACAGAATTAACATAATGGGTGATTGATTTTTTTCTCCATTTATTTTTGTTTTAATGTGCATTGGAATATTGAACACAATTTGGTTAAACTAGCGGATGGAATTGTTGAGCATTTAAATTCCAAATAAAATAAATGTAATATGATATGTAATGTTTTTTTTTCTTACAAAGTGACATTTAAACGACTTAAGCATAAATGAAATAGTTATTTTTCTGAAGTAAGGTATTGAATGAGATATAAATTTCAAAGAAATTGATGAATGAAAACAGTGACCTTTAGTTGAATATAAAGTAAAGCGAAAACATTAGTTATTACTCTAGTCTCATTTTAAACTGACCAACTTCGGTTGATGCTATCGTATTGCTTCTGATTATAACTACATGTTGTTTACTGCATAATGGCTAGTGAATGAATTAAAAACCTGTGTTTCCGTTAATTTTGTACTCACCAACTGGGTTTAGCGACATAAGTGACAGTGTCCTTAAGGAAATTTGAATTCTGAATTAATTTCTTCTCACCACAATGCATTATTCATCAGCCCACTAAGTCGGAAGATTCATTCCTTAACTAGGTGAAGATTAAACAAACGTCTTCTCCAAGAACTCTAGATACCTTACACTTTATGCTTTTCATCCAAATTATCTGGACATCAAACGAATATTTTCTAGGTTACACTGACTCTAGTAATTGTTTAAACGATATATGTATTTAATTGGAAAGTGTATCAGTATGTTTTAGAAAAGAACATATTGTTCTCTGAAACCCTAATGAATATCTGATTTAACTTTATGTATTAAAGATGCTTCGCTGTAGCTTCATTTTACATGTATGATATAGAGGAACTAGTTATTGGGAAGACATTTCACTCAGATAATATTAGATATCATGGCTTGAAAAAATTATACAAAAAACTTCACATAGTTATGTAGTAATATGCACTTGGAAACTGATTTTATAGGCAGTAACAACAGCCAGCTGTCTGGTGTATTATCCTGTCATAAATGGATATACATAGAAACTTCAGTGTATAACTGGCTAATACAATAATTGACCTTGTCGTTTCACATGTCTCTGAACTTGTTACACATTATACTTTGTAAAACGAATGTTGTTTACAATATGTCAATTGTCACAGCGAAGAATACTAAGAGATAATAATAATTTGTAAATTTTAGTGATTATATTATTATTATTGTTCCCTTAGGTTCCTAGTGGAACATAGAGCTTCAACTACACGTCTCCACTTACTTCTGTCTTCTGCTGTACTTTTCACCTGCATCCATGTTAGTCCATACTGTTTCAATTCCTCTTCACACGAACTCCTCTATGTCACCCTTGGACGTCCCACTCGCCGCTTACCTTTCAAGTTCCACTCGAGGGCCTGACGAGCGATGTCACCCAGCGGCCTTCTCAGCGAGTGTCCAATCCATCTCCACTTTCTCCTGCATATTTGTTGAGCGATTGGTTCTTGTTTTGTTTGTTCCCATAGTTTCTTGTTGGTGATTCTTTCTGGCCATCTGATCTTCAGTATAGAGAGAAGACAGTTGATTGCTTACCCTTATTTTAATTTTGGGACTCTTTAGTAGAGTCCAACCCAAGACTTTCAAGCTGGGAGTCCAGACAGTTTACCGTTCAGCCGCTTGTTTCTCCAGGTTATATCCAACTATAACCACGCGCGATAAAATCTTTCAAAATGTTAAATTCAGACTGAATCGATTTGTAATTAGGTAATATCTGACAGACTGGTTATTCTCTGTCTTTGACCTGTTACATGGAATGGCACATTCATGTTTGCATTAATCTCATTCGGTGTACTATCTGCTGTTAATCACTTATTGAGACAACATACAGAAAGTGTGGGAAAATTCGTTTTGTCCAAACATATAGAGGTTTTCACCTCAGTCTTGTATGACCAGGTGAAGTAAAAAATTTGTAGTGAATCCAAGAGTAACCTCCTCCTATTCAGAGATGAAATCGGCTAGGCAAAAATCTGTTGTAAGTGTCGAATAAAGTTAAAGACAAAGAAAAGATAAAACTTCATGTGACAAGGTTTGCACACCCACTGATAACCCCTTTAAGATTAGTTAAAGAGTGTTAGCTGGCTGAAGGCAATCAGCAGGAATCCTTAGACCTAGTTGTAGTGTTTGTTGGAACTCGTCAGCAAGGCATATCTAAACCCTTGAAGGAATTGATATCCCCTCTAAGATTTGAACCCGTGTAACTAAGGTGTAACCAGTCAATAAATTGAAGAGTACTGACTGGTTGCGTATATATTAAAAGTGAAATTCATTAGTAAGCTTTATAGTAGGCAATCTACTATCAATTATATTATCCAGTTAATGGCTACTTATTGATGAAAACTTATGGTCAACTATATTATTTATTTTTTTTATTTATTTTATTTTATTATAGCTTGATTTCACACAGTATTTTGATACAACTATGAAATTTTCACCATGTGATATTGGTAGCCCAAATTTAGTAGGCCGACCATTGATATCAGGTGTAAATATATTAATATGGAGAGAGAATGTTTCATAATATAGACTTATCCCCCGTAATCTAGCTAAGAAACTTTATTTTCAAAGCTTTCAGTGTGATATAAGCCACCTGACGAAGAGCTATTTAACATGATGTAATCAATGTGTAAAGGAATAATACCTAGTTAACTCCCATAGTGTACAACTTTAAGGTAAATCATCGTTAATTTTATTGTCCATCAGTATATATGTACCTATGTTCATAGCAAAATGACAATATTATTTTTATATTATTACTCCCTTGGGTTCCGAGTGGAAAATAGAGCTTGAACAACACATCTGCACTTCGTCCTATTCTCTGCTGTCTTCTTCACCTGGGTCCCCGACTGGCAATAATCGTTCATCTCCTGCTCCTCGCCACACGATCTCCTCCATGTCATTCTTGCACTGATCACCCACTTGTTGCTTCCCATCTGGATTCCACTCGAGCGATGACCTGCGTTGCGCGCGATGTCACTCGGCGGCCTCCTCAACTTATGTCCAATCCATCTCCATTTTCATTTACATATTTATTTAGAGATCGGCTCTTCGTCGGTTTGTTGTCACAGTTTCTTGTTGCTAATTCTTACTGACGGGCTGGCCATTTGATCTTCAATATAGAATTGGTGAAGGCATCTATTGATAAAAGTCTGTAACCTGTTGGAAATGCTTTTCATGATGAGGGCTCCAAGTTTCTAACCCGTATATAAGCACTAACTGACTTCACATTTTCACTAAAAATCCAAATCTTGTTGTTTCGGCTGGCTGAATGCAGAGGTTTTCTAAACTGGTTTCAGGTTGATGAAGACGTATCTTGACTTTCCGATTCTGGCTGGCCTTGAGATCTTCATCCGTGCTGTCGCTTGTGGCTGAAACCAAGCTTCCTAGATAAGTGAAGGAAGTGACCTCTTCCAATTTTCTATCGTTGATGGTGATTGGTGCTGGTTGGCTACGCAAAATTACCACACGATATTTCCACTCTTCTTAAATTGTCCCAGCATACAAGCTTTTGAATTACGTCAGATATTGTATTCAGGTAATTGATTTCAAGACTTCACCCGAATATATCATTCAACAAATCTCCCTTTTTAAAACATTTCTGTCGATTATGTTTGGTACTTCTGTGAAGACAGTGACTTTAGAGAGAATTATTGTTCAAAAGGTTTCAAAATATTTAAGACCTCTATTTAAAGATTCATTGCCAATAAACAGAAATTTATTTTTATTCATGAATATTCTGTACTTTTTCATGCTTCTTCCTAGGTGTCACCCTCGTATAAATCAAAATCGCTAACGACTGATAGCTACTTCGATGAGAGTAGAAACCGTATCGACTATAACACAGTGTATAAAAATATGTTAGACATCTACTCAGGGGATTTGACAGCAGTATCTCGGTATGATGCAATTACACTTCATGTAGAAGGAATCCACCTTAAAAGTGGGGAAAATTCTTTGGATATAACGGGATAGGAAGACACGGTTTAGGACAGTTTAGCGCTCCGTTTGAAATCATTTAAAATTAAAAATCTTTTCAGTAATTTAATGTCACATTTGCAATACTAAGTGAATTGAGTAATTTCATTGAGCCCTGGTGCAGTTTTGGGTGTACACTGCTGAAGATTTATAAACTACAACAAAGCAAGTGTTTACCGTCCCATGGATTTTAATGTTTTGCTAAATCATGTACGTTCGTGATTAAATCTAAATTAAAATTCAAAATCAGTTTTAATCCTGTACACAGATTTACTCCATCCGAGAAATCATTTAGATCACATTTGTCCAACTTCTTTACTGACTAAATCATTGATCGAAGTATTAGGCACCTAGGACCATTTAAAGTGAACTCTGTTTTCACAAAGATTATAACAAACTGTGCAAATAAATATTGACTCTGTAATCTTAGTTTAAAATACAACAAACTCAGGATAACATTCTTCTTACTCTTATAGTGACGTCTAATTTCCTGCATTACATGTTTGTCACAAAAAAGCCTCTTTAGTTTTGGAAACTCTCGGTAACAACTTATCATCTCACCAAGCTATTTTTATAGTAACATGAAAGTTTTGATTCCGAGAAGTGATACATCTGCATTTCATGTAATAACTGATGACTAAAGGTGAATTAAGAAACTAAGGTGTGGAAGGTTTCTAACCAGTGTCTATAGGTTTCTAGTCTTTTGTTATGCCTAAAAGGCTGAAAAACACATCTGCTAACCAGGCTAATGAAATATAATAGTAATTCTGAATGAAATAATGCATAAGGCAAGAATTTACTGTGCAGTCACAGTATTAACCTTAGTCATGGGCAAGTTGTATGGAATGTCAGTGAACAGGAACATGAAAGAAGTAGCAAAACTGGTAAGTGGAAGTGAACCCTACACTCGTTACTTTCAAATAGTTTGAAATCCTATCTGAGTTTCTAAATATTCCCTATATATATATATATATATATATATATAGTTTAATAAAATAACATTAAAAAATGACTTCCATTGAGACCGATAGTAAACATTACGAGTATGCCAACATAGAAATTAACAAAAATGCTTTTCTTATGTACTGCAACTGAAGTCATTAGTTTGTTGGTGGTTAATAGTGGAATACAGGACGCGCTTTTCTTCC